AACGAATAGTAGAGTTGAATATGACCAAATGAATGTTTGTTAATGCACTGTTAAAAAAATTTCACTGAAGTTTCCAGGCTTTAGTCTTGAAATATGAAACAAGTGACGGTTTCATTGAAATTTCTGGGAATTTTACCATTGACAATTCGTGGTTTTCGTGGAAAAGTTATGGAAATTTTAAGGATGTTCGACACCCTTTTAGCCAAAATTGACGTTGTTTTCATTTTTCTGGCAAATTATCGATGGGAGTGACGTGAAAAAATATAACGATTTTGTGGTTTGTCATTCTTTAATGGCTCACGAAGTTGCGTAGTGGTGCGATAATTTTCATGCGTTTTTTCTACAGTTTTGTGATTCTTTTTAAAAGTTTAGAGAAAACGCAGGAAAATGTTCGCACCACCTTAAAATTTCGTCAGTCATTAAATAATGACAAAACGCAAAAACGTTATATTTTTTCACGTCAATTCCATCATAAGTTTGCCAGAAAAATTAAAAAAACGTGAATTTTGGCAGAAAGGGTGTAGAACATTCTTAAATTTTAGTTGAATTATTCCATGAAAATTAATGGAAATTGGGAAAACTCAAGCAAAAATGTCCTTGAATTTTCAATTTTTTGAAATTTCAGAGCACTTTCTTATTGAATTATCATGTTTACATTGAAAAGTCATGGAAATTTCGGAATCTTCATGGTTCTTCAACTGAAAAATCAGAAATTTCCTTGAATTTTCAGGGAAACTTGAAGTTTCATATAGACTTTTTTCCGTTAAATTTAATTCAGTGTCATTTTCTGGTTAACGAATGTGGGAAAAACAATCAATAAAAATTACGTATCCTTTCCGTAATTTATGTGGTTGTAGGAAATTTTACGGAACTATCACGGAATTTTTCCAGAGCGTTCCGTCATTTTTATCCGAATCTCCCGTGAAAAATTACAACACCGTCACTTGAATTTTCGGAGTCGATTCCGTAATCGGTGAGCGAATTGTGAGTTCCGTAATTTTTACTGAACATTTCTCTCCGTGCAACCAAATCCATTCATTAACAATACCTAATCCTTTCCATCTGTGCACGCAATCATGTGAACTGCAACATAATTTTTCCTGAAGTTTTTTCTCTGTGCGGCTGTTACCATTCACGATGTTCTACATTTTTATGTAAACACATCGATGGTCATAAAAACCATTCAGCGTCCTGGAAGTCTTCTGCATCCCCTTGACGACCTCTGCGGCTACATACTCTCCACTGGAAAAAGGTAGAATAAAAAATACGCGACGTACTCTATATTTCACGAGAGGATGTCCAACGCCAGCCGAATTCACGTCCTCTTCACACACTTTTTTTCAAGTTTCATTGCACGCCCTCAACCCATGGTCGGCTACGTCACAACATAAATCTGGCGAAACAAAAAAATCAAGTACTTGCAACGTTCGCCTTTAATGTTTCTGTTGTTGTGGAACAGTTACGCTGAATATGTAACATTTTCCAACGTGAATGATTGCGCGTCCAGACTATGAACGGAAGCATGTGAAAAGTTTTTTACTGGCCAGTTCCAGTACCACAGACACTAAAAAACGTGCCATCAATGCAGTTGCACGCATTCACAACGCTGGCTCTCAGTTTGATTAATATAAAAGGATTTATGTATTGTTGAATCAAACAATGAGATTTATTGAATACATCGGGAATGGAAATTTAGTTGTGTATACAGGGTGTCCCAAAATGGATCTGATGTGTCGTGAGGGTAATTCGTGTGGGCTATTTGGATGTTAAAAATTTTTGTCTGAAATTTCCGGTAAACTTTTTGGAAATTTTTATCGAATAAAATCATGAAATTTCAGGTTTCACTAGAATCGAAAATTTCCTCTAGGGGAAACATTGATCGATTGGCAAAATAAATACAAATATATAAATGATTGCGGGATTGCTTTCAAATGTATATGCACCCTCACCATCTAGTTTGGTAATCAAAATTGATTAGAAGAAATTGAAAAATCTTTTCTGAATTTCAATTAATTAGTTGTTAAAATTCAACAAATAATTGGTAATTCATTTTTTCAACAACTAGTTGTTGAAGTTCACTAAATAATTTTCTCCGCGTGCCCTTCCTGAGCTACGCTGCTTAGCGTATATTTTCGGACTGGTTTCGGCTGGTTTCAACGTCAAGTATGGTTTGATCATGTATCTGCGGCGAATGAAGGTTGAGGGGTATGCATATTCGGAGTAATATGATGAGCTGGCTGCGGGTGAGACTTTGATTGATTGCCCGGGATTTCCCCCTCCCCATTGTACATCGTTACCTCAGCCGATAGGGCTTATCTTTGATTCATTCAGTTTCCCTTCTCTCTGACAGAAGGGGTGTATACAAATGGTCTTGTGCGGTATTTCGAGTATTTTCACACAGCCTCATCCCACTTCCCATTTGTTACTCTTCTTTCATTACATTCCAGTAATGATGCGGCAGAACCAGATGAATCAATTCTGCTCGTAGTCCAGTTTTTGTTGTATATCTCGAGATGTCAAAGGGAATATTAGTAATTTTCATTGTCGTATGAACCTGAGAAAGGAAATTTCATAGAATATCCAAGAACATTGACTGATTTATCAATAACAACATCAGTGGAAATTCCATGTAAATTATTCGTTGTTAAAAATTTCAAGATTTTTTATTTGAAATTTCAAGAGTAATTTTCTGACGGTGAGTGCACGTGAATGCTTGCGGAGTCCATTGGGAATGGCGACGCCGTATTCAGTAGAGTGAGGAAAAACTAAACAGACGCGGGGAACAAAGCTTTGGAGTGGCCGTCGGCACGTTGAGCAGTTTCACTGATGTTCGACAGAAATAACAATTTCACTTATACTCCCCAGCATTTCCAACTGGTGCGGAGTTGATACTACCAGACAGGATCGAACTTTCTCCCGGAGTAGATGAGTAAACTTGGAAGAATTCGAAATCACTCTCCGGAAAACGCAATTAGGGTCGCCAGTGGTTTTTATACGAAATGACCAGTCTTTCTGATATTGAAAATCCTTCAGAAACTTTCTTCATTCCGTCTTCATCCCTTCACCGCGGTGGATTGTTCTGTAATTTCTATTCGAATCCGCATTCGAGTTATGAATTTTTAATTGAACGTAACGAAACGAAGTATTTCAATTTAAGTTCGAGAGACTTTTTGATTATTCTATTTTCGTTTAGATTTCCCTCACGACGGAAACAAACTCATTGAGGCATATCCCTACACTGAGAGAAAAACAAACACGTTGTCAAACAAGTCTTGTTTGTGCCAACAAAATCGCTAGTTGAAAATTGCCAAAAAAGAATTTGTTTGGTTCGAATTTGAAAGTCTCAAACATGAATAATTGTTCTGCTTTTGACAGCAACGAAATATTTGGCTCNACAGAGAATGCAATTTTTTTTCAGCTACTAAATCTATTTTTGCGACAAAAATTTTTCATTCCGGCGCACTCTCTGCATGTTTGGCACAAAAAAATTCTTTTTTGATAATTTTTAAAAAACTATTTTCCTGGCACAAGTACGACTTGTTTGAGAACTTTGTAGTTTTTCTCTCAGTGTAGAAAACAGGTTTTTGTCACGATAGTCCCCGTGTTTTTCGTAGATTGAGAAATTCCGAACGCGGTGAATTTTTGGTAAAATTTCCGAGTTTCTGTGATATTGAATTCCAAAAAAATCAACGCTCTGGAGATGAACATTCGTGTACAGACCTCTCTTATAAAGAATTTATGAGAAAAGTTCAACTTATGGAGGAAATGACCGAGATTCCCTCTATTTTCGGAATAACTTTAATTGTGTCAACTCCATGATAAGAAACAAGGGTGACCGAAGGCTCAAACAATATTTGGGGAATTTACTTCAATCTTGTAAGAATGGCGGAAGAAATTTAAATCAAGTTCTTCCGCCACTCCCACGGGGAAATGTCGACCTTGGTTCCTAGATGACGTGAGATAAGTAACGTTTTTTCCCCCTGGGAACTGTGGGCTTTATATGAACCCTCGGAGTGACATAATCTTCTCTACTTTCCTCATCCCACGAGCGCAAGCGAACTCCTCCGCGGATGGCTATGACATCCGAACATCCGAACGCTTTTCCTTCTCCCGATCGCCCTTGGCGCGACTGCGCACGCCTTGAGGGTTGTTCAGAATTTATCAGGATAGCTAACTTTGGTCTCAGGAGTTCAAATATGCTATTTTTAGACCTCGCCAGTACACTGTTGAAAAATTTTCACTGAAGTTTCCAGGCTTTAGTCTTGAAATATGAAACAAGTGACGGTTTCATTGAAATTTCAGGAAATTTTACCATTGAAAATTCGTGGTTTTCGTGGAAAATTCATGGAAATTTTAAATTTCAGTTAAATTATCCTATGAAAATTAATAGAAATTAGGAAAATTCAAACAAAATTGTCCTTGAATTTTCAATTTTTTGAAATTTCAGAGCAATTTCTTATTGAATTATTATGTTTACATTAAAAATTCATGGAGATTTCGGAATCTTCATGGTTCTTCCACTGAAAAATCAAGAATTTCCTTCAATTTTCGGGGAAACCTCAAGTTTCATTGACTTTTTTCCGTTAAATTGAATTCAGTGTCATTTTCTGGAAAATTCAATTAAATTTTTTTAACACTGTACGTGTGTAATACACCATGAGTTTTTTTTTATTATCAATTCCATGACGCACAGCTAATTGATTGACAAAATCCGAGTGATAATAAGGTCGATCCCCTCAAGCCCAATAGTCGTGAGACAGAGAATGAAGTCGCAGATGGTAATTCCAGAGAACAATAAACCAGAGAATCCAGACACAATTGTGATGAGTTTGAGTTCGCACAGACATTGAGAGAGGGAGTCTATAAATATGGGAGCCAATATACGTGGATTTGAATGCCCAAACACGTGAATGTGAAAACAAAAGGTCCACCAGCTTCTATTTAAGTACATCCCTTAGGCTTCACGTGTTGTCCCTTCGGTGAATAAATAACTCGTTATGTAGCTTCAAACGTTCAAGATACTATAATTATTCATCATTTTTACAGTATTGTTAAATCTATGGCACAGGTTCGCTCGAATATCGATCGGAATACGTAATGGATACAGTGAGACTAATTTTAATTATTGAAAAAACTGGGGAACATTTGTTCTACGTCGTGTGATTTCAGGCTGATGTAACTCAATTGCATGCGAATTATTCTCAGGACTCCGAAGTTGTTTGGATCTGCAGCAGATAAAATTGAGGATCCATCAGGTACTCTATTGGCTTGGAAATTACGTTCAATTAAATTTAATTATTGTGAAAGATTGATATCACAACATCTTATCAGGACTTCCTATCAAATTAATATCACAGAATTAACCCCTCACGTACGGCGCCCATACAACGCGGCTTGTCCCAACGGCCGGGAGACTTACGGCGCGTCAACTCCGTTATTCAGTGAACGATAACTTGAAAACAGTCGAACGAAAAAAATTGAAATAAAATGCATTGGCTGTATTGAACTTTGAAATAAACTCCTAAAGAATTTCCTAATTTTTGACACCAATTTCAGTGTTTGCCGACAATTGGTTGTCGAGATCTTCGAACATGCTAAATTTATTTATAACAAACAAATTATTCAACAAATCGAAATTCAACTTCTGCCAGTCGATAGAAAGATCATTGAAGTATTTTCAGTAAAAATTTCGAAAATTTTTGGGGGAAATTTCGGCGATAAACGAGATGATTTAATATGATTGAATCGGTTGGATGTAAAATTTTCATCTACAGCTTTTGTTCATAGAAAAAAAAATTATAAAGGCATTGAAAAAAAATTAAATAAAATAGTTCACAATGTCAATATATCTCTTGGAATTCGAGAAAATGATTTTTTACTGTTGATGGAAAGGGTCGACACCATGCATTGACTCCGACCGATTTTTTCGTGCGTGTCAATCTATTATTTACTTCCCTAATGAAGTAATTTTCAAAATTCGGCTTCTTAATTGGAAATTTTCGTGATCATTAAAATTAATTGGAGGCTATTGTAATAATCCTCGCTAAAACATTTGAACACGTAATAGATCGAATCCCCTTCAAACGGATCACTGAAGTCTTGATAAGGGAATGCTACCACCAATCAATAGCGATAATACCAGTTATCCCCAATCATAATTTTCCGGGTCATATATTCAACGGGATATTCCACGCGATTTCATTACAGAGTAATTAGCAAATACTTACTTCAAACAGATCACTGAAGCCTTGATAGGGGAATACTCCACCCAATATATACCGATAATATCCGTTATGCCGTATTCGATATTTTCCAGGTAATACATCTAACGGGATATCCCATGTGATTTCCACTTGACTAGTACCGAGGATCACTGACGTGCGGGCCCAGTAGAATCTGCATACAAATCAAATGTTTTTATTACATTATTTTTCCAATAACTTTTTTAAATATTTTTTTTCTGATTTCTCCAGTAAAAAATTTGTGTTTGCTCTACCGAGTTTCCCAATTTGCATCAGTGGCAACTTCAATCCAATTTCCGTTATCGTCAATTCTCTCGACAGTGAGAAAACTTGAGTCCATCATGAGATTATTACGGGGATGTCCCGATACCTGTGAATAAATGAAAGTGGCTGTACGTGATGACAATTTGATAACTGGATTATCATTAACAAAGCTATTAATGTAATTATTTTTTAATGGAAAATCTCCAGCCCTAAAATTGTAGATGAATTTTCAAGTGAATCATTTCTCGTACATGTACCAACGAGTTATTCCGATAATATGAAATTGACAGAAAAATGTAATTTGTAATGTGTCATACAAGTCCATCCAAAGAGCTAGAATAAACGTCACTTTAGTGAATATGAACTAAAGTAAATAAGTAATTAGTGGGAAATTGGTGTAGTGACAATATTGTCAAAATATTTTTGCTAATAAATTGGCAATTTGCTTCCGACTGAAATTTAAATGCCGATTTATTACCACGAAATTTCAGATTGCACTGACAATTCTCTGTAATTTGGCATTGAATATTCATATTAGATTGGACATTTAAATAAATTAAGGAATTCTCGTCTTTATGCTGCTTAAAATTTCGGAATTTTACTGAATTTTCAGTGAAACCTGAAATTTTATTATTTTTTCCTCTAATCGCACTCAGTGTCACTGTTCTGAAAATTAGTATTCAACACTCCATGAAATTTCATTTTTTTTCGAACAATATGTTACTCTTTAATACATTTCCATAAAAATTTCCCACAACCCAAATTGTTGCATCTAAATGACGTCGGAAATTTCAGTACAACTCTTGACATAAATTTCTCCTAGCTATGACTCCAATGGAGCATCAAAAAATGCGAAGATAAACCTTACACATCTTAATGGGAAATTTTTATATGGATTCTCAAGGATAACAGGGCGATAATCTCGTTTTATAGACAGCCAAGCTGTTGGGTTTATCGTTCTGGGCTAATGGACTGCATCCCTCGTGGGATTTGTATTATCCCACATATTCTCATTGTACATTAGATAGAGGGTCACAGAAAGATAACAGACTCAGAGTGACAGTGCTGTCTCATATGTGGGTTGAGAGCTGCGCCTTAAGGACCAAGGTAAATACAATAATCCATTAGATTTACTTTTCCCCTTGTAAAAATGAATCTGGAAATTCCATGAACTGAAAAAATGGTACCACTACAGTTGTATCTACTCATAGTTTCCGGATTTTTGCTTCCGCATGGACGCTTTGTAATCACTCAAGTTCAAGTTTGCAATTTTTTGTGGTAGGGTAACTGAATACACCCGAAAAACGTACTGATTCAATTCGCCGTCGGTTTGATTCTAGTCGGTTTTCGACATGAGTCAAGTCGAGTGACTCGGACTTAATTGATCCGAATTTTGGATCTGATATAAGCAGAAAAGTGAATTATTTCAAGAAGAAACAGGTCAGAAATCGACCTCGATTTTTCGGCTATTTTCAAGTCGAATTTTCGATTTGATTCAAGTTGATTTTTCCGTTTGACTCAAGTTGAATTCTCGGCTTGATTGAAGTCGACTGTCGGCTTGATTCAAGTGGAATTTTCGGTTTGAGTGAAGTCTATTTTCTGCTTGTTTCAAGTCGAATTTTCCATTTGATTCAAGTCAAATTTTCGATTTGATTCAAGTCGATTTTTGACTTGATCCAGGTAGATTTTTCGGCTTGATTCGAGGTGATTCTAGAGAGTCATACATGGAGAGGTCGAAAAATTGACTTGAATCAAGCCGAAATGCGACTTGAATCAAGATGAAAAATCGACTTGAATCAAACCGAAAAATTAACTTGAATGAAGCCGAAATACGACTTAAATTAGACCTATGTACCGGTTTCCATCTCTCCGAGTCAGACTTGATTCATGCCAACGATTCGGCATGAAATGAGTCGTTTCCCGGCATAATTCATTCCGACTTGATTCAAACCGATATTTCGATTTGATTCACGATATTTTTTTTGGGCTGGTCTCTTTTCTTCATATTTTTTTATCAGGGATCAATCGCATTTCATGAATGAGGACTTTAATAAGCTCTATTAATAAAACATAAAATGTTTATGGCATTTCAATTAATGATAGTCCTATGACATAACAAATAGAAGAAGAGAATAGTGAAATTTTATAATAAAAAAAAGGGAACCCATTTGGAAGCCAATTGCGAATTTATTAGCAACAATAAGTACACCCATTTATAAAAAATTTAATTGTTCGTTTGTTGTTCTTTCAGCCAAATTTTTGAAGAGTAAACACCGAAGCCCTTGTTTGTCACATTTTAATACTAAAATGTGTACGTAATCACGAGGAAATCGCCAATCTTAGGAAGTGTTCAGAGCATTTTTCAAGGCGCAACATTATCGCGCGCGAGATGAGATTACCCCTCGGATTGTGCAACACACGATTACCCGTGCAGTTGCATTTCCATTGGTTATGCAATAGTGAAATATATTTTTGAAGATTATCATTGGTTTTCCTTCTTTCACTCTTTCGCTTCCCTTCTATCTTTTTTTTTCACTATTATCTCATCAATCAATTTTCCCTTCTTTCAAATACTGCTTCCGGCTAATCTGATCGTTACTGGCACAAAGTTCGCGTAACTTTATTGATTATATTCCGTTAATTATACTACAATATGTTGATCCGTTCAATTATGGGAGCGATCCTTTCTCTGAACTATTGCAAACTAGGTGGAATGGAGTAATTTGTTGGAGCAAATTGTTGATAAAGTCATGTACTAATTGGGGAAGCTGAATAAGGTTGATGAGAAACGTGTAGCTGAAGGTGTGGTAAGGAATATGGAGTAGTAGAGGTTCAGTTGCTGAAGGTTTCAATGAGGAATATTGGCACTGCACGTCCGGAGGAATGACGCATTTGAAGTAAATAAACGATTCAAGCGATTCTAATAAATGATTATTACAATTTAAGGGGATACGTCGGTGAAATTTAAAAGTATTCACTTGATTTTGGCCCGTGTGACCACGAAAAAATTCATTTTTTGCTGTTTTTACGTCATTTTCATACGATTTTAGATTTTTTATTAAATGTTCGGTACATCCTAAAGAATAAAGTGAAACATTCGTTTTACTTTATTTGCAATAGATTTAATGCAATAGTTATTAAATTTATCCCCCTTTTGTGTAATTATTTTAATTCTCCTTGAGGTACCAGCTATTTTAATTGAATATAATCTCCGATTGAAGTAGAAAGTAAGCTTCTCAACGTTTTCAAGTTGAGCTCATTCATCTCGCGCGATTCGTGAAAATTTGCGTCCGAAGGAATGACGCATTTGAAGTAAATAAACCCTTCAAGCGACGCTAATAAATGATTATTATAATTTAAGGGGATACGTCGGTGAAATTTAAAAGTATTCACTTGATTTTGGCCCGTGTGACCACGAAAAAATTCATTTTTTGCTGTTTTTACGTCTTTTTCATACGATTTTAGATTTTTTATTAAATGTTCGGTACATCCTAAAGAATAAAGTTAAGTATTCGTTTTACTTTATTTGCAATAGATTTAATGCAATAGTTATTAAATTTATCTCCCTTTTGTGTAATTATTTTAATTCTCCCTTCTTGACGTTTTCAAGTTGAGCTCATTCATCTCGCGCGATTCGTGAAAATTTGTCAAATACATAGCTGGAAAGTCAGACAAGAAATACTTCAAATACTAAATCGATAAGTACACTGAAAGATTATAGGAAGTGTAGGAAGTATATATTTACGAAAATAGCTGAAACTGTGTGCCCAGGACGAACTGTTTTTTCGGGCTGCCGCAGGCAGTCGCCAAAGTCTCGTCCCCACTTTGACGTGTCATAAATCACTGGTGTTTGGAGACTTATCAAATTTTCAGTAGTCAGGTCCGGCGGTGAGGGGCCGGGCTCCACTTTCCTACCCTTGGAGAGAGATCAATAATGAAAATACAATAAGAAAAATTAAGATGGACAATTCATCTTCTCTTCGTTCTCATTTCAGTATAAACTTTTGGCAAATTCAAAGCTTGTGATGAATCTAAAATTTCAAATGATGGATTTGATGAAAAAAATCTTCATTTAAAAATTTTCTATTCATTTCAACAATCCTTTTTTTTATTGACAATTTCTCAATTAAATATTGATCAGTTATTGACTCCAGCGAGGACGTATCAATTAAATGGAATTAATAATTCATTCATTCTTAATAAATTCTCGAAAAACATCAAAAAAAGTTTTATTTCTACAATTATTTAATTTTGACCTGATAACGTCTTCATTTGGATCAAGGAAACATTAGTTTACCTTTAAGAAACTATTAACCCGACGTAAATAAAAAATCAAATGAAAATGAAGTTCAAGTTCTAATAAACTCATTAATTTATTTTATTCAGATAAAAAATCGTTTTTTAATTGCACAAGAACTTAAAATTTAATTTCCACTCACATGAACTGCTGCCAGGGCCAATTCCCGATATTGTTTGAGGTAAATCGTCAGCGTATGGGGTCCGAAGATAGTCGAGGCGCCTTCATACCTTTGAATCTTTGAAAAACAAATAGAAGAGCGAATAGAGAATGAAAATGAAGAATAACGGAAATGAACGCTTTCATAATTCTTCAATGCATCCTTCCCTTCAGCGAGCTCCTTATAATTATATAAATTACCTCATACTCCTCGGGAGTAGCAATATAATCGCTGTACGTGTTGCAAAGCCCAGCAATAACAACGATGGGTTCTACCTCGGTACTTTCCATCACAGCAGATGCAATCGTCTCGCGCATTCTTCTGCCCGACATGGTCGTGAATTCACCGGGCACACCTGCTATTACAAAGTCACCGATTGCGACGAGTTGGGTGGACACTACCTTTGGTTGCCACTGATAAGGCAGTCGCATCTTGGTAAACGAGAATGTAAGGGAAAATTTAATGATGGGGGGGAAGAAAATGTCGGGGGAGGGCATTCCTCGGTGAGTTGCGCAGTCCCTGTATGGAGAGTAATCTCCAACGTTCTTGAACTATGAATTGCTCTAATGACAGTGACGTCTAAATTCACACGGATGTTTTAACATTAAAATTCTCATATTTGGACGTGGAGAGAAAAGGTAGAGAAAATTTATCGAACGAGTCCAGCACGGAAAAAAAATTGGGGGATGGTTATTTTAATGTACCATCATCATCCAATGCCATCATCTCCAATGTTCTCGAACTATGAATTACACTAATGACAGTGACATTTAAATCCCCATAAGTACATATCCGACATTTAGATGTTTCTTACTCTTCCAGTTGCCAATAGTATGGGCTTAGCCCCGTGACACTTGATGTCCTCCTCGGTGGGTGCAGCAACGAAGTTCCTAACGGCGTTCCACACAGGATTCGAAGTCGTTGTGCCTTGTTCGAAGGCGAACGAGCCGGGTCCGTCGGTTGTCCCGGCCGCAAAACTGTAGCCCATCGCCGGCAGACAAGCCTCCACCTCCTCCACTCGACCTGTCGTCTCGTTGTAGTACTCTCCTCTCTGCCCTGGCATGTTCACGTAACGATGAACTACTCTCACTGGACCCTTCAGCTCTGCCTTTGAACCTCTTTGCCAGATGTTCTGAAAGCAGAAGGGTGGGCACTTCAATTGGTGGGGTGCACTGTTAGAAAATTACACTTGAACGTTCAAGTGAAAAAGCTTCAAATTTTTAACAACGATGAACTTCCACGAAATTTATTTAGAATTCTTCATTGACCAATCAGTTAATTTCTTGAATATTCCACACGGAGAATAAAATTCCAGAAAAATTACTGTGCCAGCACGGTAAAATGGGGTCGTTTGGACGGACTCGGAAAAAATACCGTGGGAATTATTCTAGTTGAAATGAATAAATTGTTTTTTCAACTTTAATACAAATTTAATTCGAAATAATCCCTTTTAAAATCCCTTTCATGAAACAAGTAAGCAAGTTTATTCATCTCTAACAAAAATATTCTCGACATTTCAACTGGAAATTCCCAACAGTGTAAAAAGCTCAGGAAATTCCAAGAACGTATTTTAATAAATGAAAGAAGAAATTGTCTGGGGAAATGCCGTGCCGACACGTAATTCCATTGACTGCATTTTCCAACTTTGAGAGTTTCATTTCCTCTTCTTCCGAGTCATTTTTTCCCTCCTCAACTCATTCTGAGGAAATATTTCCCTCAAAGAATGCATATGCAATGAAGTTAACCTTCGTCCCACTGTTCCGAGGGAAGAGTCCGATTCTTTTACGTCGAATTTCCCTCATTTCCTCCCTGGGTTTTCATAATTTTACTTCTTCGACTCTCTCTCTCTCTCCCCCCCCCCCNCCCGCCGGGTCAGAATAATGCGACAGAAATAAGTCACATCGGTTTTCCGAAGGATATCGAAGGAGTTAACTGCCTTTTTATGGACTCGTTTCATTCATTTTTCTATTCTTCGCCTTTCCGAGTCCTTGAGACACAGCGGCTGCCTCAACCCAAGTGCCGAGCTGTTTTGCTACACTTTCCTGCTTTCATGAATGCATCTTGGGAATTTTCAATGTCATCTCGACGACGATGGGATGATAATAAATATGTGACGCGTGTGAACGGGAGAATGGGGGTACTCCCATAATCGAGTGCATTTTGTATCCGGGATTACAAAAACAAGGCGATACAAACAAGATTGAGCGGTATTCAGACGGTTGGGTGTTGAGTTGCGCAAGGGATCCACTGATTTACTTGTTGACATCGCAATGGTAACACTGTGCTCTAGTTGAGGAGAAATTGAATGGTGAAGTGGGAAAATAAGTCAGCGTAAGCCATGTGGTTATTGGGGGATGTCTTGGTTGTGAGGATTTTTATGAAGTCTTTCAGCTGAAAATGTGAATGTGGCGAATGTGATTATTGGCGAATGATTATAAAGCCACATTCGCCAGATAATACCTTTCTCGCCTGATGACATAATATACTATTTCCTCACTGATGCCCATTTTGAGGCTTTTTTCAGCCTATTTTTACACGGAGAGTAATGTTCAAGAAAAATTACGGAACCTTTCACGTAATCCGCAAGCGAGAGTCGTTTTCAGTGAATTTCTATAGGAATATAAGAGAATAAATCTGAAACGTTCAGTAAATTTTCGGGTCCGTTACCGAAAAAATACGAAAAAGTCACGTAATTTTTCTGGAAGTTGTAAAATCTAACAGAAACTTCAAGACTTATTATGCCTCAGAACATGAAAATTCTTGGATATTTAAGAATTTTTACGTAAAGTTCCGGAAAAATTACGGAACGTGTTGTTAAAATCTCCCCCTTACGGTGACTCATGGCTAGCCGTGAGGCGTCGGACGGATGAGTAATTTTTACGTCTTTTTTCTGGTAATTTTTATTGAATATTTCTCTCCGTGTAGGGAGTGGGAGTATTTTTTTCGGTGAAATGACGTCGTGAATTTTCGTTGTTCACAAAACATACAGTTGAATAGGACGTTGAATCTGCTGAGTGGATTCGCACGGCAATTACTAATCTCTCTCCCAATTTCGGTTGTATAATGCACACATGGTCGTTCGCGTCACCAAGAAATTCGAGGCAACCTGGGAGACTCAATAGCGTAAGAGGCAGCCTTAGCTCAAAGGGAAGTGTTCTCAATGCTGTAAATAGTTTCTTGTGCTTGTGCAGAATACAGGTAGAGACGGTTTTGTATCGAGTTTCCAGAGCTTTGAGGTGAAATGGAACTAGTCAGAATGTCCCAGAGGGCGATGAGTTACTCAGTTTTGCAGATCAATTCCCGTGGCATTCGAACGATGCTCGGATTTCCTGAGGATTCTGCGATAACGTGAGATTTATGTCCGGAGAGAATTCATGTTCGATCATTGATACGAAAAAAAAGTAATGAAGCAGTGACTGCAGTAAAAATCTCGACCACTGGGGGCGAAACGTTAAATGGACCGAGAATTCGCTAGCGGAAAACAAATATACTTGAATTGAGTATAAAACTAGACTTGTGCTCATAGATGTTTTATAAATATTGATAATGACTTGAAGAAATTTGAGAGAATGAAGAGTGAAACATCAATAAAAAGTGGAGATTAAAAAATGAGGGTCAGAATATTAGGGTCAAAACATTAGGGTCAGAATATAAAAGTAAAAAAAGTGAGTGTCAGGCAATGAGGGTCTAAATATAAGTCATATATTATGCTTGATCACCGTTTTTAGCCCTTATATGACCCTCATTGCCTGACACCCACTTTTTTTACTTTTATATTCTGACCCTAATTTTTTGACTCTAATATTCCGACCCTCATTTTTTAATCTCCACTTTTTGACCCTTATATTCTCACACTTAGTGTCTGACCCTTATATTGCACTTGAGAGCGCTTGGTGCAACCCGGGCTGATACGAAATAATCATCTGCGAATTGAAATACCCATCTCCCATTCGAGTACAAAATATGCTTGAATTATTTGTATTTCATCAAGTATATTTTTAATTAAGTATTTTTTTTCTCCGTGTGTTCGGCCGTGAGCGGGTCACCAAGACTTGGCCGCCCAATTTAGGCCTCACCAACATCGGTAATTCGGGCTCGGAAAGTTTCCTCTTCCTCGCGTAGAGGTACACCGTCGGGAAATAAGTCCTTGAAGTACTTGGCACGCGCGTCACTTTTTCTGTCACCTCTCATCTGAACACGCCTCGGGTGTGGCAATTGCTTCTCAGAAAATCTTGAAAGGTAACTCTCCTCTTTACGCTAGATTTATTCACCGCTGGGCCCAGTTCCCAACGGATGATCCCATTCATTGTTCCACAAGTGTATGAGGCGACATTCCTTAACCGTCGAACCTTCTGACAAGACATTGTTGGCAAACTTTTGATGAGCTTACTCATCCGAGTCTTATGTTGTCTTGCCTCATCCCCGTAAATTCAAACTCCTCGTTTAGTTACTGCGTCGGAGTGAGAATGCGGTGTGAGGGGGAAGTAGCGGAACAATTTGGAAGTGGGAGCTGCGTTAATTGGATGATTTCGTACGGAATGGGCAATTTTGAGGAGATAATGGTGTCTCTCAATTTGAACGCAAGGGTAGGGGAATTGAAAATGTTTTGAAATTCAAGTAACAGATGCATTTGAATTTTCAATATTCTGCACTTGAATTCAGTAGCGAAGTGGTAGAATAGTAGGGGAGGGTAGGGCAAAACGGCCCCCCTTCAATTGTCAATAACTTGTGAATGACATTGTGAAAATTCCCAGTTTCAACTTCATTTTGAAGATAATTTTTCATTCTTCAAAACGAGCTCTAACTCATCCCAATCGGATTATTGAATCGGAAAATCTAAAAACCGCNACATTTCTACTTTGAAAAACCAAAACGATAGTTCAACTGAGAAAAAAATTGGGATTGCGAATCTAATTAAATTTTCTGGAAGTTTGTTGCAGTTTTCAATAATCTTTGAATTTACCGTAAGGGTAGAGCTAACACAGACATTTTCTAAAAACCGCATATCTCGACGTGTCATGAAATTTCAAGTTTTGATGAACTAAAATTCAGTGGCGAAGTGGTAAAACGGTTTCAGTCGACTTAGATCTCATCTGAGTTTTTGAGGAATATCTCTGAATCTGAGGGAGATGACAAAATTTTGAACATGACCTTTTTTATAACACTCAATTCACTCTACAAAAAAGGTTATGACAAAAATTTTACCATCTCCCTTAGATTCAGAGATATTCCTCAAAAACTCAGATGAGATCTAAGTCGACTGAAACCGTTTTACCACTTCGCCACTGAATTTTAGTTCATCAAAACTTGAAATTTCATGACACGTCGAGATATGCGGTTTTTAGAAAATGTCTGTGTTAGCTCTACCCTTACGGTAAATTCAAAGATTATTGAAAACTGCAACAAACTTCCAGAAAATTTAATTAGATTCGCAATCCCAATTTTTTTCTCAGTTGAACTATCGTTTTGGTTTTTCAAAGTAGAAATGTTTAAAAATCAGTATTTAACCCAGTGCCTTATCCGAAAATCAACATTTCCATTGCAATCAAAGATTAAAATCTGAATTTTTTTCATTAGATGTGAAAAAACGAAATTTTTCAACACCTCAAAAAAACGATCCACCGTTTTGTAAACAAGATTTATTATTCATTTATAACAAGGAAATGTTTGAAAAAATATCAATATTTTGCGAAAACTAATTTAAATAATGCTGACTGGGTACGAGTTTTTTCAAATTTTTCGCATGCAATTAATTAGTTAATTAATTTAGTTGAAAACTTCAAAAAACTAAAAATATCCAAAAGTGTAGAGCTACTTTAAGTTCAAACAGCTTTCAAACACCAAGTGTCTGTAGTAATGTTCTCTGAACTTCATCAATAGTATAATCCGATTGCCGCGATGATATTCTGCACCAAAGGGAGCGGGAGGGAATACGAACTCCCTCGATATTACCTCACTAAACTGCGCCATCGCACTGAAATGGAATCTCTCCTCTGTTTCAAATACCTTCTGTACTATTCAAGCCGCGATACTGCTTTCTGTCTTTATACTACAGTTTCCCACGGTAAACCCTTGGGGCTATTAATGATTGAACGTCGTGGGTAATTAGATGTGTCTTTGTATTCCTCTGTT